ATCCTATTTTACATTGAAATACATCATGTTTCAGCAAAACTACTATTTATTTCTGAGAATATATTCATTCAGGCACAGTTTAGGTAAAATATACATGTGCTGTAACATTTTTTTAATTGAAAACGATTAAAAAAACGCGTACCCTCTAGCCCTGTTCAAGGAGAAGACTGGGAGGAGCTGTTTGGTGCTTAAGACGATGACAAGGAAAATGATTTTGATGGATTTTAATGAAAATATTCAGAAAGACCCTGGCACTGTCAAGGAAAGTGGCTGCTGAAGGCTTCCGGGACATGGCAGAGGACGAGATTAGGGAGCTAATTGAAGAGCACGACACTGAGCTGACCGAGGAGGATCTACAGGAGTTAGTAGACTCAGGCAAGGAAGAGGAAGCGAAAGGGAAAGAGGATGAGGAAGAGCACCAAGAAATAACGTTGGAGAAGTTGGGGGAGATGACCAGGAAGATTGAGGCACTGAAAAACCTGGCCTATAGTATGGACCCCTCCGTGGTGCGTGCCCTGAAATTCATGCGAGGGATGGATGACGTTTTCGCTCCATACAAAAACATCATGGAAGAAATGAAAGAAAGAGACAACTCCCCATCACCATGTTCTTTGATCACCGAAGGAGAGATTTAACACCATCAATCACTGGCGACAGTGAGGAAGCAGCTGAATCCAGAGTCGCCCCCACTTCACCACCTGTTATGGAATTGAGTGACGATGAGCCCGATGACCCCCGCCCTGTCGCCGAGGAGAGGTACGGTACAGTAAAGTGAAATTCTTATCTCTTTTTTTTTAATAGCTTTTCTTGCCATGTTTATTGTTTGTAAAAATGCACAGCACAGTACAGTTCAGTACAAGTACTGTACATAGGAAGTGGAGGTGCAGTTATTCACAAAACATTTGTGTTTGTTGTCGGCAGTAGTGACGGTGCGGAGGGAGCGAGTTGGGAGGAGTGGTGAGGTGACCTTGGACGCAGGAGCAGGGACGAGTGGAGATGCCAGCCAGTATATTTCGGGTGTATTAATTGTTTTTATAGCTATTTTTGCATTTTAATATTAAATACTGTACATTACGTTTCAACAAAACTGCCATTTATTTCTGAGAACATAGAAATGTAATATTTTTGCTGAAATGATGTACGTATTACAGTGGAACGTGGGATAAAATTGTGACGAAGGCAATGACTCTTCTCTTTTTTTCGTTCAAAAGATGTTGCCATAATCGCTTTTCGAATGGTTTTCAGTTGTGGGATTATAAGGCTAATGATAGGATAGAATATTATTGTAATACAGTACGAGTACAGTACAACAGTTTTTTAACTGAAAACCATTCGAAAACCGATTACGGTAAAATCTTTTGAACAACGAAAGAAAGCGAAAGTCATTGTTTTCATAATTTTATCCCACTTTCCACTGTACAGTAATATGTACGTCATTTCAGCCAAAATATTACATTTCCATATTTATTTCTGAGAATATATTCATTCAGTCACAGTTAAGGTAAAATATACTTGTGATGTAATATTTTAATGAAAATACGGTATCGTAGTTTTCTTTTGTATCAAATTTAATTAACAAAGATTGATGTTTCAAATGTAATGAACAAAAATTTATGCACAGTATCTGTAAATAAAATTTAACAAATGAATACTTTGTTTTACATCGTCCTGTGTATACCATACCATGCATTTGGCTACTTTGGGCTAGCTATGATGACGCAAAAGATCTGTCTTGGCGACTATACCGACACTCACAGCTGGTGGTGCGTCGGTGCGTCGTTTCCATTGTTTACTGGTAGTTACTGGTAAATATTTTTCAACCTAATGAAACTATTACCCTTTTAGAGGTCGACCCCCAATTTTTTGCAAAATAATTTGGTCTTAAAAACTCGAACTACACACAGGTATATACGGTAAATAAGGACATGGGGGGGCCCAGGGATTTTTTAAGGGGGGGGGGGCAGCAATAGTACACGGATTTTTAACATTCACGGGTATCTCTGTTACCTAACCCCCGCGTATGTTAAGGGCCAACTGTATATTACTTTTTTACATTTATTTTACTACAGCTACAACCAGGGTCTTATTTTCTTTATTTTCGTATGTAGAACCATCGTCTCAGACTCCCGGGTGTAAACACTAAAGAAAACAATGGCATCCCATCTCCTCTTGTGTGACCATATTATTATTAATTTATATTGTATAAGGTGCATTCATACACATTATTTAAAGAAAATAGTTTGCAATTTTCATTAATTTTATTGCTTGGGAGAAAAGAGGGTAAAAAGCCACACAAAAGATATGAAAAGGTCACACTTGGGAATGCATCTCATTATTATTGCTGTATTTTAATGGCAATTAATGATTCACGATACGATGATTCACCTTATATTGCAATATTGGAGGACACATAACTGTCGTTACTCGAGGCTTTACTGTATATAGGAAAAACACTGTAATGAGTATACAGTAAATAAATTTTGGTTCTGCAAGTTGGAATATTGAAAGAAAAGATAAGTGCCCTCCTGCAGTAGATGTTCTTCCAAGCCAATTGCAGGAGGGGGGGGGGGTGTAAGATGATGGCACTATCACTTTTAGTATGCTAGAATAGTGACTAGAAGTATCTATCCAGTAGGGATATGAATGTGGAAACTGTAGGAATCTGAAATAGCTACAGTAGATCAGGTTATGAAAGCAGAGAGCATGTATCATTATATGAGAGAAACAAAACATGTGAGAATAAACAGAGAGGAAAGTGAGGATTCTGAGGTAAAAGTAAGGGTCTGTCTTGGGCCCCCTTCTTTTTATCATGGTGCTAGTAAGTAATATTATGGGACTTTAGGATGGGTCTGCCCTAGAAGTTGTTGTATGCTGAGGATTTAATGCTCATAGCAGGTGGTATTGAATAGGCAGTGAAGAAATTTAAGAAATAAAAGTTTCAATAGTCAAAGAGCCTGAGAGAGTGCGGCAAAAATAAAAGCGCTGACTATTAGTGTGGGTGAGGGGCCCATGGTGGAAAATAAAAATTGGCCATGTGCCATCTGCAAAAAAGGTGTTGGCAGCAGCTCAGTAAAGTGCAATGTGGGTGAAAGGTGGATATACAAGAGATGCAGTGGAGTAGATTGCAGACTGCAGGGTGTTGCTGACTTTAACTATTCTGTATGTGCAAGGCTGGAGAAAATCAACATTGGGGATATGTTCCTGTACTGTATCAATGAGCTCTGTTACCTGGGTGACATGATCAGCGTCAAAGCTTGCTCAGTTGCAAGAGTCAGAAGTGGCTCGAGAAAGTTTAGGGAGTTGCTGCTTTTATTGATGGCATAAGGAATTTCCCTCCTAGTGAAAGGAGGAATGTAAATGGTTGGCCAGAGAAGCGTGATGTTGTCTAGCAGTGAGAGACGGTTGTTAAAGAGGATGAAATAAGTAAGCTTAAGTGAGCAAAAATGAGATTGACAAGGTGGGTGTATAATGTGACACTGAATGGTTTGGGTATGTGGAGAGAATGGATGAGATTAATTGGGTCAAGAGGTGCATGAGCCTAAATATGGAGAGACGAGAGCCAGGGACAAGCCAAGAATGACATGGGGAGTGGTTGTACAAAATGATATAAAAACTAAGAGACTGCAGGAGACTGCAGCATAGAGAGCTGCCATCACTTAATAGTAGCTAACCCATACAAACGTGGAAAGTGGCCATAAATCGATGACGATGATGATGAAGTAAACACTGACATTGATTTTTTTTTACCCAATTTAACTAAACCTCTTCAATGTCTTCTCACAACATGTGCAATTTTTGTATTACATGTAATGTTGGATACAAGTGCAAAATTACCATTGACTTTTGACTCTGATCTTAAGAGGTCAGTGGAGTGAGGTGGCTGAGATTAGATTGGTCACTAGAAAAGGATGATAAGTGTGGAAATTTTGTAGCAATCAGTTAATAAATTATAGATCAACTCAAGTTCAGTAGGGTTGGGATATATCGAGACTTTATATAACGATTTTTTTTTATATCGCGGCTACCAAAATTATTGAAATTTTCCTATATATAGCGATAATTATTTTTACTTCGTGAGGGAAATCAGGCAGGAAATACTTCACATGTACGGCCATGACAAACAAATGTGTTATTTGCTCACCAGAGGAGCCACCGTGGCTGCTCACTCACGCATTCAAGCTCGCCCGCTCAGACTTTCTGAGTGAGTGGCAAGAAAGAAGCCGACTCTGCTGCAGATTACGACTTCTAAGGTGAGTGTAAATGGGTTACTAGTGACCTGAAAAGTGAAGTGAAGATAATAGAAAGCTTAATGAAAAAGATTTAAAACTGTAACTAATATTTTTGGTGTTCATTTATGTAGGTGTGGGATTGTCAAGTGAGGGTGGCAGTGTGGCGTCCGCTGCCGAGTCTGGTGTTCCCGGGATGGTGCGTCAGCTGCTGAATCTAGTGTTTCTGAGTCTGGTGTTCATTGATATTGAAACAGTCTGTTGTTCCCGAGTCTAGTGTTCATTGGTGCTTTAGTTAGTAAGAAAATGAACTCGTAAAGCCAAGTTTAGTCACTTTTATTGGCCTCCAGAACCTAATCCTATTTTCCCCATTGATTACATGTAATTATATATCGCGATTTAGTATAGAGTGAACATCGTTGGACCCTATCTTGTGATATATCCCGACCCTACTGTGTAGGTAATCTTCATTGATTAACAATTGCTGACATATGTCTGACAATAACAATCATTGAACTTAATTTGTACTGTCATACTAAGATATGGAAAGGACACCAAAATAAAGTATTGACAAGATTAGGCAGATAAAACAATTGTTGCCCTTTCATAATTGTACTGGCAAAGAAGATATAATATTTATCAAATATAGATTCATACATAAATTAAACAAATTTGTTATAGGATGCATTATATATCACATAAATTAAACAAATTTGTTATAGTATGCATTATATATCACATAAATTTTCACATGAATAACAAATAATCCCTCACCTGCAGCTTCATCCAAGCCACAGTATCAGCATTAACAGGGGTTGGGACAGAGCCTTTTGGATTCTCTGTAGACACTTTGATGTTTGAGGCAATTGATAAAGTGGCAATATCTTGTATGAGAGACTCAAGGGTGGCCCTAGTGTCGGCACTTTCTGACTGAAGGGTCACTGTAAATAGTAATAACATATTAAAAAAAAAAAAAAAATAAATAAATCATAGAGATCACATATACTGTAATTCTGCCCATCATCAAAGACTCTGGAATACAGGTTAACCTCTATTAGAAATGGGGATAGGTTCATTTTAACAATTATTTAACATAATTGAAGTACAGGGAAACTAGTTTTTAGCATGCCAAACAGCCACTCAACACACCAAACAGGCGTCAGTCTCTGTCTCTTTTCAGTGGAGGTAACATCTTGCTTCAGACTCTCTTCAACATAAACTATTTTTTCCATTTTTACAGTGAAAGTATTGGTCATTTGGAATTTATTTTACATATTGATGATATATAGCGCAGTGCAGTGTTGATTTAAAGAAAATATTCTTTATCTACAGCAATTAAACTTAAAATTTTAGTGTTGAAATTGTTTTTGAATCCAGCATGGGTCCCAAGAAATCCAGAAAAGCGATTTCAATCCAGGTGAAACAGGAAATTATTAAGAAACATGAAGAAGGCATTAGAACAAATATGCTAAGCAAAGAGTATGGCATGTCGACATTAACTGTGTCGACAATTCTTTCACAGAAAGACAAGTTCAAGGAGTGAAAGTGAGAGACAAATCTACCAGAGTGTTTAAAGGTAGATCCCTAATACCAGAAACAGAGAGGTTACTTCTCATTTGGATTAGGGAAAAACAAATGAAAGGTGATTCAGTTTCGACCGAATTTAATTGTGAAAGAGCCAGGGAGATTTACGAACATCTAAAGGCAGATCAACCTGGTTCTTCAGGCACAGAGTTTGAAGAGTTTAGGGCCAGCAAAGGCTGGTTCGAAAAATTTAAGAAAAGAAGTGACATTTTTAGTGTTGTTAGGCATGGTGAGACTGCCAGTGCTAATAAGGAAGCAACAGCAAAATTTTTTGTAAAATGCTTCTCCTCCACCCCCACTTCCTTCTCTTCTCTCTTCTCCTCCACCTCCCACTTCAAATTCACATCAGCATCATCATCCAGGAGCCTTCTACATACACACCTCACAGTAAGTGTACTTTACTACCTTTTTTGTTGACTTTATGCAATTTTCGGTGAGCTGGAACAAATTACCCAAAAACCCATTGAAACAATGGTTTTGGTTAACGAATTTTTCGGTTAACGAGCAACCTTCTGGATCGAATTGTGCTCGTTAACTGAGGGACCACTTTGTGTGAATATATATATATATATATATATATATATATATATATATATATATATATATATATATATATATATATATATATATATATATATATATATATACAGTTTACCCCGCTTAACCGCTTTCACTTAACGTTGCTGTGATATACGCGTGCCTTGCCAAAGCTGAACTTTCATAACGCGGGTTTTTTCCACATATACGCGTGTGAATCTCCGAGACGCTATTTTATTTAGTTCCACCACCCTGCCTGACTGCCTGTTTTAGCTCATAAAATTCATACAAATTACCAGGCCAGAATATAATTTACATTGCTGGAATTCTTATAATTTGGTGATCATTTTGAACATAAACATCATATATTTTGCTTAAACTTACAATTTTTAGATAAAATTTTTCTCTAGGTAACTATGGTATCTTTTTGTCCAAAATATATGACATTTATATTCAAAATATTCCTGGTCTTACAAGGAATCAGCAATAATGATTATATTATCCTAACTTTAGTTTGAGGTATTATTTATTAAAATTTAGTGGTTATCCCACACATCTCCTTGGGACGGTTGGTGGGGGGTGGGGAGGGAGACCAACCGACCATCTGTTACCGCGTGAAAGAATTATTATTTTTTTATTAACTGAAGATATTTGTTTTAGCCTTAAAATTCATACAAATTACCCGGTCAGAATATAATTTACATTGTTGAATTCTTATAATTTGGTGATCTTTTGAATATAAACATCACATATTTTGCTTTAAACTTACAATTTTTAGATAAAAATTTTTCTAAGTAACTATGGTATCTTTTGTCCAAAATATATGACATTTATTCAAAATATTCCTGGTCTTACAAGAACCAGCAATGTCAATTATATTATCCTAACTTTAATCTGAGGTATTATTTAATACTAAATGTTAAAACTCTGGAAGGAGGATTGGTGGGGGGTGGGGGAGGGTTGGACTGACCGCGTTGGAAGAGGGGAGGCAAGGTGGGGTACTTTGATTGACAGATAGTGTCGAAGATTATTTTTTTTATTAACTGAAGATATTTGTTTTAGCTCATAAAATTCATACAAATTACCCGGTCAGAATATAATTTACATTGCTGAATTCTTATAATTTGGATCATTTTGAATATAAACATCATATATTTTTTAAACTTACAATTTTAGATAAAAATTTTTCTCTAGGTAACTATGTTATCTATTGTCCAAAATATATGACATTTATATTCAAAATATTCCTGGTCTTAAGGCGAATCCAGCAATGTCAATTATATTTTCCTAACTTAGTTTGAGGTTATCCCACACATCTCCTTGGGACCGTTGGTGGGGGTGGGGGGAGAGGGACCCAACCGACCATCTGTTAGCCGGCTTGTAGTGTGAGAGGGAGGAGTTGAGTCCATTATTTGAATGGACATTAACTTATGCATCAGAGCTTATTTCTTCTAAGTATTAAGTGTGTAAGTACCATATAAAATTAGATGTTATTTTACTACAACATAGGTATGTGCCTTCAAAAAGGGAGTTTGGGGGTCGGGCCGGTTTCTATTGGAATTAATCCCATATGTTCTGTTGTTCACTTAACGCGATTTCACTTAACGCGACCCTCTGGGTTCAATTGACTAAGTATGGGTATAACTGTATATATATATATATATATATATATATATATATATATATATATATATATATATATATATATATATATATGTGTGTGTGTGTGTGTGTGTATGTACAGAGAACCCTCGCTTACGCGGTCAATTGAACCCACGGAGGCCCGGGTAGTGAGAACCGTAAAGTGAACAACATAACATATGGGATTAATTGAAATAGAGACCGGCCGAATTCCCAAACCCACTTTTCCAACACAATACCTATGTTGTAGTAAAATAACATATTAATTTTATGATGGTACACGACACAATTAATATTTAAGAGAATTACAGTCGCCAACTTAATGTCCATTCAAATAATGGACTCAATTTCCCTCTTCCCAGCTCACTGGCTCCTACCTCTGTGAGAAATGTTGGGTGAAAACACTAGATTTTAACGTATAGTAATAAATAATACCTCAGACTAAAGTTAGGATAATATATGGATTCCTTGCAGGTCAGGAATATTTTGAATGTAAACTCATATATTCTGCACAAAAGATAAAATATTTGCTTTGTGTAAACCAAATTATTACATTAGATCTAAATTTTTATGTCTAATGCAAAACCATGATGTTTATATTCAAAATGATCATCATATTGTAAGAATTCCAGTAATATAAATTATATTCTGGCAGGGTAATTTGTATGAATTTTATGAGCTAAACAAAAATAATATACTCACTTCAAGCGCATATGAGTAGATGCAATCAAGAAATGAAATTCGGTTCTGGCTAGGTAACATTAAAATGTAGAACGCAGAAAGTGAAACCGGCGAATCAGGCATTAGTGTATGTATGTATATATATATATATATATATATATATATATATATATATATATATATATATATATATATATATATATATATATATATATATATATATATATATATATATATATATATATATATATATATATATATATATATATATATGTATGTATGTATGTATGTATGTATGTATGTATGCATAATAATAATAATAATAATTATAATAATAATAATAATAATTAACGGTTTATTGAAAGAGCTAAGTCAGAAGGCTGAAAATATACAGTTACATATTTGGGGAATGTATGTATGTATGTATGTATGTATGTATGTATGTATGTATGTATGTATGTATATATGTATATATATATATATATATATATATATATATATATGTATATATATATATATGTATATATATATATATATATATATATATATATATATATATATATATGTAATATATATATATATATATTAATATATATATATATATATTATTATTATATATATATAATATATTATATATATATATATATATTATATATATATATATATATATATATATATATATATATATATATGTATATATATATATATATATATATATATATATATATATATATATATATATATATATATATATATATATATATATATATATATATATATATATATATATATATATATATATATATATATATATATAGTATTTCCCCGCTACGGTTTCACTTTCTATTTCTCATTTACGTACCGCCAGAACCGACTTTCACTTTCCACGTGCATCTACTTATATAAGCTGGTGAAGTATAATTTGTTTTTATTTAGCCTATAAAATTCATACAAATTACTCCAGCTAGAATATATTTACATTGCTGGAATTTAATAAGGATGATCATTTTGAATATAAACATCAAGGATTTTGCATTAGACAATAATTTAGATTCAGTAATAATTTATTTACAAAAGCAAATATTTTATCGCTTAGGTAAAAATATATGAAGTTTACATTCAAATATTCCCTGACCTGCAAGGAATCCAGAAATGTCAATACTATATTATCCTAATCCTTTAGTCTGAGTTAGTTATCAGTATCTTGGGTTTATAAGACTGAATTTGAACATTAAAAAATTCCGCCCAAAGTTAGGGGTCGTCTAATCACCAGGTATAAAATTTACCTCTTAAATATTGTGGTTTAGTGTGTGAAGAGATGATGGAAAGATCAGAAGCCACTCACAAGGTCCTACCAATAATTATTTTTCGTACTGAAACTTACGCTTATGCTGGATTCAAATTAAGATTACCGTATACAGTCAACCTCACTTTACGTCCCACATTCACAAGTTTCATCGCCATGCTGGTGCCTGCCAGAACCCAGGATGCTTCACAT